TTTATAAAACGGTTACCAAGTGTGGCAATATGAAAGAAAAATTCACACTCTAATTTAAATAGTTTTTATTAGTAAATAATTATGTAAAATAAAATAGTCCCTCCGTTGCCTTCTGCACGAAACATAGTGCGAGGTGGTTGCTATGCAACAACACTAACAGCTAGCGAACGTATTAGACAGAGAGCGTTGATCCATTATTTCACTATTTATTTACNTCCAATGTCCAGCATACTTGGAATTCTACCGAGCCCGACGTACTTCGTTTGGAGAAATTTCGAGGCTCCACATGTGTAGACTCCGCGGTCTTAAAATCCCCACAATGCTTTGCACACGGACCAATTTCCCCAAATCTGTGGTGGAAAATGTAAGGCGTGGTCTCTCATATGACGCACACTTGCTAGCCTGTTCCACTCTTCGTTTTCCGAATGCCAGGAAGCATTCTTGCCTCGCTTCTGAAGCAAGTGACTCGGAAGACATGTGCTACCAAGCAAGCGTGCTCGACATTGACTTACTCCCTGTGTGTCGGAGAGTGTGTATGGCGCTCTTTGTCTCTCTGTTTCATACATGACGCATAAGCTGCTTTCCTGGGTGTGGACACCGAGGTCATAAAGTTTATTTTTGATTTGGCTACGGATCAAGAACAAAATGGTTAAAGAACTGTAAAAGTAGTTTCACATCTTTTGAAAGAGTCCTTTAAACCGTAGACAGAAGAGCTTGAATGACATTTGATCCACTAAAACTTTGAAATCATGTCTTTGTGATTTAATTATTTGAGTAGATCCAGCTCCATCTCCTGGTACAGAGAGTCTGTTCAGTGTCTGTGGTTCAACTCATCGAGAGCTGATGCTGTCTGCTTTTTGTCTGAAGCTAGATATTACAGCTTAAAAACTGAAATGTTTTTCCATTCGTTTTTATCCTTTTTTTAATTAGTTTTTTAACCGGACAATATCATTTCAGTATAGATTCAACCTAAAAGCCATGTTTTTCACTGGTTATTTTAGTTTTAAATTAAAATTATAACCACATATTTACAAACAGACCTGATCTGGTTCTTTACAGCTCTAGATAGTTTGTGCTATATCCATTTTCTATCTTCATGTGTTTTAAAGAATGAAGGTCTTAACTAGTTTACAAAAGACGACACGGGTGCAGCACACACAGATACTCTTTTCTCTGTTGTCGTACACACAATAGCTGCAGCTTAGTTGTTGGCAATAAACATCTTCCTCTCCAACAGCGCAACAATAATAGAGATCAGTAAAAAAAATACACAAAATAGTGCAAAGAATCCACAGAGTGTGGCTGCAGCGATCATCACATGCAACTCTGAGGCTCTGCAGTTTGTAGTGGGATGAATCTGTTGTAGCCAGGAAACACACACACACACACACACACACACACACACACACACACACACACACACACACACTGTGTGTGTGTGTGTGTGTGTGTGTGTGTGTGTGTGTGTGTGTGTGTGTGTGTGTTTCCTGGCTACAACAGATTCATCCCACTACAAACTGCAGAGCCTNATGCCACGGCACTGGGAGTAGGAGGCAACGAGGATCATACCAGCGCGTAACCCCCGCTGGTGCTCTCCGCTACCTTCTGTATGAGTCATTACCACGCTTGTAATTAAAGTACCCATTCTGACTGTCTCAGAGACTCCCTTGTCTCTTACTTTAAGCTTCTCTCCTGGGCGCGGCGGAACAAGACAAGCTAATCGTGGCCACTATAAGATTCAGTCTGAACCGGTCACTGGTCCTGCAGAAAGAACAACACACAGACGCAAACACGGCACTCGTCGTACAACGTAAACATGGAGGGCCCCAACTCGCTTGTTACCGTCATTTGCTCCTGATCGCAGTAGAGAGCATATGCTAATGTGGCCCTGAGAGAAAGAGCAGCGAATTATTTGTTCAGCTCTTGTGGGAGCTCGGACTGTACAAACGCTTTGACTCAGAGGTGTGTGCGTAATCGTAGCCAGGAGAGGGTGGATGATCCTTGTGTTTCGCTTATTCCTGGCCGAGCTTTTGTCTCGTGGGAAGATGGATTGCGAGATGCTTTGGCTGAACGCGGCGGCGTAACGATGCAACTCCTCCGGATCTCGAACTGAAGTCACTGCTTACTCTACCCTCCGTCCGGCCGTGGTTATCCGAGTGCCTCTCCACGCACAGAATAGGCTGCTATCAAATTCTAGAGGACTTAAAGTTTGCAGCATCCGATATGATGGATCGTACTCGTCGGCTCGCCAACCTGCGTCGGATTGAGGCCAAACAGCAAATGTCCAGACGTCAAGACCCGATCCAAAACACATGAATGGCGTCTGTGGTAGTTTGCACGACTAACTCCGCCTCCGCGCGCAATGGAGCGTGGGTTCATATCGCCCTTGTACTTAAAGCACACAGCCGGACGCGTCTAGAGTCCCCACTAGGCATCACCGCGCTTTAAATCTGCTTGGTGTGAGCTGTCAGGATCCTGCTGGAGACCCAGGAATCCACATCCGCGTGAACTGCGAGCTCGCCCTCCGGCAACACGGCCTGCACGCTCCTTCGCCCTGAACTGACCCGCCGTTGGACGACAGCTGTTCCCGGGATCCGATCGCATAACAAGGAGTTGGTATGCCTTGTTCGACGTGCTGCGACACAAATGGTCACCAGACGCTGGGCACGTCGTTCCGGCTTTCATACTCGACCAGGTGGTGAGCATCTGGGTGCCATCAGGTACAGACATGACCAGATGTGTGAAGGAGGAGTTAGTCAGGAGCGGGCGACTCGAGTGTACGAGATCCGATTCGTCTCGGCACCAGGCCTGGCTCTCTGTCATGGGCTTCAGCTACCCGTTTTGAGCTCGTGTCTTACTGTTTCTGTCGCGGGGGTTTCGTCATTGCTCAATCCCTATGGCATTTGTTTAAGAGACGTGCGCCACTCGGGATCCGTGGATGTCGGCAAGCGATCTTGAGAGGCGGAAGCCTCAATCCGCCCCTTCAATAAGAAGGCAGGGAAGTACTTAACAAATCGCACGTGAGAACCACCTTTAGCTCAGGATCAATTACTTACTGAACCAATCGTAATCCTAAGGTCCCTACTAGCTTTCCATCTTTCACTGCCTCCTCATGTCTTCATCGCGGATGCGTTTGCCCACTGTCAGGGAAGATGAGAGGCGCGGCAAGCGCTCACACAAACGTTTTTGGAGTGCCCTTGCCTTCATTTTCTAGCACTTAGGAACTCTGAACCTGGGAACGGTTGCGAAAACACTGATAGTCTCGTCCCCACTTGAGGTACCCTGATCCCAAGTTTCACCTGTAGCTGAAACCGACCGGAGTATGATTACATAGAAGAAGCTAATGAGACACTGTTGAACATATGATAGCTATGTGATTAACATGATGATTCAGCCTCTATGGAGAGAGACATATGACAAGCATGATCATTTCTGACGTGGAGCTAATCTGAAGTAAACATTGAATACTGCTTTCTATTCCTCCATCTTGTGACTGTGGAACTCCCTCTCTTGGATATCAGCATGTGAAGGACACTGTTCAGGAACTAGTTGATGCTCTGTATGTGATGACTACTTCCATTCTGGAGAGGATCACAGATACATGGATCCTGAGATTGAAGCCGGGGACCAGTGAGATTTTTCTAACGGTATGAATACATGTTAACTGTCTAACTGGCTCCATCCTCAGGTCAGTTTGCTGAGAACGAAACCAACGAGGTGAACTTCAGGGAGATCCCGTCTCACGTGCTCTCCAAGGTCTGCATGTACTTCACCTACAAGGTCCGCTACACCAACAGCTCCACGGAAATCCCAGAATTCCCCATCGCTCCGGAGATCGCGCTGGAACTGCTCATGGCTGCAAACTTTTTGGATTGCTAAAGTTACAGAAAAAAAAAAATGTAGCAGCTTAAAACAGTTTTACATTTTTTTTGAATATTTAAATTGTTTTTGCCATTTACTTATATGAAACCTGAATAAATATGTCACCATGTTATTATTTCCTTTTTCTTTTTGCACCTGACTTTCTGTCAAAGTTTTATTAGTATTAAAGGATTTAATTTTAATGTAATAAATGGAGATGGCAGCCTCACTGGCCCCCGAATGTGATGAATGTTTCCCCACTCCATCGATGTTCCCTCACCTCTCCAGATGAATAAAGACCTGTTTGGTGAGCACACTCTACTGCGGCCTCACTTTGCATGAACAGACGACTAGTCTAAAGTAAATCAATGCAAAGTGTAAAAGACCTCAAAAAGCATTCGGCAGACATTGTTTATTCTAAGTTATAAAACGGACAAGTCAAATCAAGCAATCTGATTGGTTCTTAGCCGTGATATACTGAGCGTATACCATGGGTAGAATTGTAAGTTACTTTTCACAACAAGTCTGTATCCCTCCGCGCCTGAGAAAAACAGTATACAGTTGGGCTGAAAAGCAAACTGCATGCAGTTTACTTTGATGAATAAGTTTGAAGAGCAAACTGCATGCAGTTTGCTTTTCACACTGGAATAAGAAAGCAGCGGAGAAGGGGTGGGCAATACCACAAAATCTGGATTCGATATCTATACCGATAGACAGCAGTGGAGAGAGAAGAAAAGAGCATATACTTGTGTTCGTCTCGTCTGCACATTGTTTTTTGAAGAAATTGACGAGTAGAGGAGACGGGAAAGTATAAAAGTATCGATCCTATTGGCTCTAGTATCGATATTTTTTAACGTAATATCGGAAGTAAGTAATTTTAAAACTAAAATAACCAGTGAAAAACATGGCTTTTAGGTTGAATCTATACTGAAATGATATTGTCCGGTTAAAAAACGAATTAAAAAAAGGATAAAAACGAATGGAAAAACATTTCAGTTTTTAAGCTGTAATATCTAGCTTCAGGCTAAGTGGAGCAATATTCTCGCTACGCCAAGCAACAGCCTAGAACAACCTCAACCTATACAAGTAACCTCGTAAGCCA